ATTGATTAACTTCTTCTCAGCCACCCAGGCGGTTATAACATCTTGGCATTTTTGTCCATTCTTCATCTTTTGGCGCAGGACATTACTCAGTGTAAGCAATTCTCCCTCCGGAATGGTAGCCGCTAGCCGTTCTGACACTGGGTTGTCTATCGCTCTTTTTCTATACACTCCTGACAACGCAGGACAAAAAAAAAATCATATACAAATGTTTCCATCTTGAGAATACAGGGTGGCTATGTTCTTCCATGTTTAAATGTGCTTTCATTAACTTAAATTTTCATAATTCTATTCCACTTAGTTATATTTGTTTTATCAGTTTTTGAAAAGATTTTAATTATTCGTTGGGAAATTCTGACATTTTATTTTCCGGGGCATTTCTACTGGTCCTCTGGAAAAAAATGGAAAAGAAACAATAATGTAATTGTGAAAGTTCTTCATGAAGGTGTAAAGATACCTGAAATAATGTTCAGCACATGTTGCTCCTCGCCCAAGCTTCATGACAGCATATCAAATATTGTACATTATGCCCCAAAATGGCAAGGTGCCCCTCACCCATGAGCTTCAATAAGGCATAATTACACACCTGAGATGATGTCTAATGCGAGTTGTTCCTCCTCCATCCTGAACAATGCATCGGCCAATACCAAGCGATGGTTGAAGGTTGAAGAACGAACAGTGTCTCTCCATCTAAGAAGTACAGACTGGTGAAGCGTATCATCCTTCCCTTGGTTATCTGGGCCCGTCGATTGGACGTCATCAGAAACACCTAGTTGTTTCGCCAGTTGTGCCTTGTCAACTCGATTCTCAACTTCTACCATGTCTCCAAGCCCGATTTCGAATCCTGTAACATACCCGTTTGTAAAAAAAAAACGATTATGATTTTAATTCACCCCAGATTTTCTTGTCAGCTAAAGATTTGCCGGATTATATTATGAAACATAAAATATACCAGTGTCACACAAATGTACATGAGAGGAGACTTTTTTTCGGTATACAATAGGTAAATTAAAAACGAAAGCTATTTTGTCTCCATTTTGGGGGCACACTTAACATGTTTAAAGGCAACATTTTGTATAGGATCTCCCCGACGTCACCCCATTCGTCATTGTTCTGGATACAGTAGGGACTTTTAGATTGAGTAGACGAGAACACGACGTACGCCGACTGATCATGCGTGTCAACGTACTCAACTGCCCATGTTGACTACAATTAGAAATCTTTTAGATTGCACTCGACGATATACATGCATGCAGGAAGTAACACTATGAATTACATGACAGACAAAGAAAGAGGACAAAATATACAGTTCCTCATTCTACCCTCAACAATAGGCCATTTTCTTAATGTAACCAAATTTAATGCATAGGTCTTTGTGAAGTGCCTCAATACAAATTATTTCATTCACCTGATCGCAATAGTAGTATTTCAATAGTCAGAATGCAACTGCATATATTAAGTGTTGCTAAGTAGGTCAAGCCATAATGTTTGTCCAACGTGGCAACAACTAATGTATGCAGTTAGGATTCTGTCTATTGAAATACTATTATTCTTATCAGGTGAATGAAATAGTTTGTATTGAGGCACTTCACAAAGACCTATGCATAAAATTTGGTTACATTACGAAAATGGCCTATTGCTGTGGTAGAACATCCCTTCACTGCTATTATGTAAAAATGTGTAGAACAGGTGAATATGCATGTGACACTTGTTCTACACATTTTTACATAATAGCAGGGAAGGGATGTTCCTTTGTCTACCTGAGGAACTGTATATTTTATGCGCATGCGGCATATACTAGTACTGTACTAGATTTAGAAAAATCAAGGTCGACGCATTCTCGATCGCCGACTGAGACGACGTGACGCATGCGCAGTGCCTTAAAATGACGTCACACGTTGCAGTCAAAGCTGTAAACGTGCAAATCTAAAAGTCCCTAATTATTTCTTCTGAACGCGGTCGTGCAATATCGCGATAATTAGGAGGAAGTAAGCATTAAATCGTCGGCAATTTAATGAATATGCTTATTTGATACGATAATACTCAAATGCAATAGTTTCCATCCAATTTGGTGTTTGATGAATCTATAAAAAGTGAAAATCCTGCCATGTTTAAAACAAGGTATTTCATTTGTAGAGCAATCAATCCAGAAATTTGCTTTATACATAATTTTATACAATTACTACTACAACTACTAATATATGTTTCTTATAAAACACTTTACCATTCACTGACCAACGTGCTTAGGGTATTAATATAATCACGTTCGCTGGATTCAATCACTATTCTGGACATCACAGTGCACTTTCTCCACTCCATGAGGAATAATCGAGCAAGTCGTTTTTTACGCACGCACACATGATAATCCAAACACAATTCGCATACTTATTAAAAACCCATTTACCACCTGGGAAGAAAATAGCAATGTAGATAAAAGCCTTGTTCAAGGACACAAGTCCCGTGACGGGGCGGGTACCTACGAACGTATTTTTTTTGTTAACCAGAAAAGCAAACCATTTCCTGTGATTAAGCCACTCGACTATGAGGCGCCGTTTGTAAACCTATTATTTGGACAAATTATATGTTATATAACCATTATTTAACAAATAATAACCATTATTTACATATAATGCAAGTAAATGTACATTTTTATTTGTGTATAATTCTTAACACATTTTCATTATTTATAAATAATTACAATTCATACTTCATTATTTATAAATAATTACAATTCACATTTCCATTATTTATAAATAATGACAAAGTACGTTTCATTATTTATATATAATTGCCATTATTTATAAATAATTACAATTCACATTTTCATTATTTATATATAATGAAAAGCGTATTTCCATTATATAATATATAATGAAAAGCACATTTCCATTATATAATATATAATGAAAAGCGTATGTCCATTATATAATATATAATGAAAAGCACATTTCCATTATATAATATATAATGAAAAGCACATTTCCATTATTTATAAATAAAGAAAACCGTATTTCCCTTATATAATATATAATGAAAAGCGCATTTCCATTATATAATATATAATGAAAAGCACATTTCCATTATATAATATATAAATGAAAAGCACACTTCCATTATATAATATATAATGAAAAGCGCATTTCCATTATATAATATTTAATGAAAAGCGCATTTCCATTATATAATATATAATGAAAACCGTATTTCCCTTATATAATATATAATGAAAAGCGCATTTCCATTATATAATATATAATGAAAAGCACATTTCCATTATATAATATATAATGAAAACCGTATTTCCCTTATATAATATATAATGAAAAGCACACTTCCATTATATAATATATAATGAAAAGCACATTTCCATTATATAATATATAATGAAAAGTACACTTCCATTATATAATATATAATGAAAAGCACATTTTCATTATATAATATATAATGAAAACCGTATTTCCCTTATATAATATATAATGAAAAGCACACTTCCATTATATCATATATAATGAAAAGCGCATTTCCATTATATAATATATAATGAAAAGCGCATTTCCATTATATATTAAATAATGATTGTGTATGCAAATGTGAATGGTTGGTAGCGCCTATAATATGAATATTCATGAGCTTGACTAGTATGACGTCACCCACACAGAGTGAGAGTTCGATTTTTTCTTTGAAAGTTTGACGGTGAGTACAGCTGTAATTACGTTAAAATCTCGTAAATTGAATCATATTTATAAACATATCTGGTGATAGTATGAATCTGCTGATTTGTCTGTACATTATGAAGTGGTTTAAAATGGTTATATCTGATGAATTTAGGAGTAATGTACACTCGAACTTTTGATTCTTTTGTTATCGTCGCGAGAAATATTTCGGCTCGATTGCCATCGTCACCTATTCACTCCTGACAGCTTGGCCCAAACTTTAGGCGAGACCATCTCTGAGTCTCTGATATCGACGGTGGTTCCGCTGAGATTGCATCTGGCTCCACTGTGGCACTGACCGCCTCTATATAGACTATATGGGGAATGTCAACAAATGTCAGTTTTATTAAAGAAATGACCCATATCAGACGGTTATATCTGTCTATCCTAGACCTTATATAGCTATAGCCTTTAGATCTAGGCAGAGCTATTCAATAACTACTTTCATAGTTGGGTCAGAAGAAAGTTAATAATAGCTAACACTACAAAGCATGCACAGTAGACAGAAATAACCGTCTGATATGGGTCATTTCTTTAATAAAACTGACATTTGTTGATAGAGGCGGTCAGCTAGAGGAGCCAGATCATGCAATCTCAGCAGAACAACCGTCGATATCAGAGACTGAAGCTTTCGGTCTAGGTCACAGTTGACATGAGTTGTGAACAAGCGCCAAAATTTGGACCAGATACCGAGATAGTTAGACTTAGACGAGAGTAGAAAATGTGAGGCCTAGGCCTACAACAGACCAGTAAATAATTGGACTACCTGTGAATGTGATAACTGATACTCGTAGTCGTACAGAGTTTCGTAGCTGTCTAACAAATTAAAAAACGATCCCCCCAAAAAAATAATTATTCAGTCAGTATATAGTGGTGCCTGTGTGTTTCTTAAACTCTTTGTTGGCTTAGCCTTATTTGCCTCTAGGCTCTATCTTTGAATTTTTGTTTGCTGCTGTAAACATCAAGTTTTCTCTGTCATATAAAGATCTAGGTCCATATTTATTTTGCGTTTTTTTCAATTTGATCGAATGGACAGTTACGAGACATGGATCTAGAGTAGATCAACTAGATCTGGATAAAGAAATTGAATTTCAATGTTAGATAATGAGGGAGGGCATTTTGGTAAAGAGAAAAATCCAAATTAAAATAGAACAGTTAATTCTGCAAATGATCATCAATGTTTAAATGATCATTAATGTTTTAATTGATCATGCTCATTTCCTTTTATTCTAAGAATTAAATTCCCCCTCTCTTATACAGGAAAATGTACAGAGAGAAAGACTTGTCGCAGTTAATGCAGTACCACATGCTTGCTTTCTTGGAGTATGTGCTTGAAATAAGAATGTCCTGGAGAAGACAGACCACCACAAGAAAAGGTAAACATAGATACTTTTGATCTTATAACTTGATCTGTTTAATTTTTTCAAGTAAAAGGAAATTTTGAAATGAGTGAGGTCAAGGTCTAGCTGGAGGGAAATGCAAAGGGCTGGTTTGCGAAGTATGTATTCATGGGATGGCTAAGTATGAATCCACATGTCTACTAACACGTTGCTGAAGTGTTTCTCTTTTTAGAATTAACATTTTAAGCTCATGTGCAGGGGGGAAGGGGGGGGGGGTCCAATACATGAAAAGGAACAACAAGCAAAAAAATAAATAATAATTGACCTTCAAATTTTGCTGAAAAAGTAAACGTTGAAGACAACTAAAATATTAAATAGTGCTATTCATTTCAAATTATGATTTTGTTCCAGGGATTGTGAAGGAGGGCTTCCTGTTGAGAGATCGTGGGGTGCCTTGAGGTTCCAGTCTTGATGTTCTGCCCCTTACCTCAAAGCGATGGCCTCTTGTGCCCGACAATATAGGAGCAAAGCACAATGGACTGGTAATTCATAATGAATATTACAATGTTTTTTTAAATCTGGTAAAGAAACAGATAAATTCATAGCATGTGAGCCTGCCATGGCATTCGGGTGACCCAACATTTGCTCCTGCAATGACTGCTCAAGGCTTCATTTGTCAAATGTGTAGGGTTACAATTGGGAATGAGGTTAGGTGTAGGGTTAGGTCTAGTGTTGGATCCAGGGATGAAGTTAAGTATTTGGATAATAGTGTAGGAAATTGATGTGGAGCAAATGTCTCGAGGAACAAGTGTCGTACAATCGAATTTTCCAGGTGCTGGTGGAGCTGTATGTATTGTTACTCATCATTGGCAGCCTAACCCTATGTTAACTGGGGGGGGGGGGGTCAATTTGACCCCCCCCCCCTGTAGAAATTTCGAGACTACTCCGAAACCGCGGCAGATATAACATTTTCCTTTCATGACTTTTTACTTTCGAGTCTTACGCATCTTTTAAAACAATTTTTTTGAAAATCGGACCTACGGTTACAAGGTCACGTGACCTTTGTCTTTGCATGTCAGCCCGAAAATCGCTCATTTTCGTGATTTGTGTACAAAACATATGTAAAAGTCATTTTTCCTAAAAATAGATAAAACATTGGTTATTCAGTCTTGTTTAAAGTTTAGATGTTTGTTTTGGGGTCAAAATAGTTGAATTGTAGTTATAAATGAAATAAAACAACAAAAACAATAAAATACATAAGTTAAAAAAACAATGAAATACATAAGAAATTATAAAAACAAGAGATAACATAAGGAATAACCTAGCTCTTCCAATTGTTTGTGTTATATTATTATTCCAAATGGTCTAATAAATATATATAGTGAAAAAGAATACTTAAATATGAATAATCTATGATTTATGGGCAGAAATGTGGATTGAATGACCTTATTTGCATAAATTACCATAAATATGCAAATGAGTGAATTTTTCAAAAATTTGAAATTACCATAGTATTCTATACACTTCACTTGACATGCATGCAAATTTTCGCGGCGATCAGCGTTGAAACGACCGAGATCTTAGGGGGGGGGGTCAAATTGACCCCCCCCCCAGTAAAAACCTGGTCTGAAATAGCCCAGTTAAGATAGGGTTAAAAATCTTCCTTTGTATTAGTAAACTAAAAATAAGCTGACCCCCAGTTTGTGAAACATGTACCTGACTTTTACGACATGCTCTATTGTTTAGTGGTTATGTTGTAACACAAAATGAATTCTTAATCTTAATCCTGGATCCATAGCTAAACGTAATATTAACCCTAAAGCTAATATAAAACCCTATCACAACTTGAGCAATAACCCTCTATCTCAATGAAATAAAGCTTGTGTTAAACATTGGCAGACCCAAAGTCAGGTTATCCTAAATTCCTCTCTACATACTGCTATTGTACAAAGTTGATATTTAAGTACATCCCATTGCAAGTTCTAAAATTTCTGTAAAAACCTTACCCTGCTGCAAGATGATGGTGTGTAAAGTAAGTTGGCTCATAGTAGAGCATGAATTATTACCTGTAATTCTCAACCAATACACCCTTGCCACCTGCAATCCATCTCACTTTCACAATATATTCTTTAAACAACATTAACCCAAGTTCAAAATTTTGATTAGTAATTAAGAAAGGCTACAAAGAATTGTATTATTTTTTCACACTCGTATAATAGAGGGGGACGGGGGGGGGGGGGGGGGCAGCGTAGCAGTACAAGATCTAATTACGACTATATCCTGTTGTCATGGGGGTAGATATCCCAGAACCTGCAAGTGTGATAAAGAAAAATATGTTTGTGTACTAAAAGTAAAACAAAAACAAATCACCAGAAACTTTTGGTTGTTAATAACTCAAAAGTTACACTCAAATCAAAATGAGGTTTTCACAGCTTAAAGTTTAGGGATGTCAATTTTATTGGGAGTAAATTCTATGCCATTTCTATGAATGGTAATTGCTATTCTTAAAGCAATGGTCGGAATGTTTGATTAGATCTTTTACTCAGACATGTAGTATATTAGTAATAAAATACATGTTTGGCAATATGGTGTTTCATTTCAGACCATAATGAGAAGTAATATTTTAATCTGGGATCTCTCGTTGGGCTAATAAGCATGGAAAATAAGGAGTTTACTCCCGTCGAGCAAATTGTGAATTTATATAAAACTAATAGCACTTTGAAGATTACTAGAAGAAAGAAAAAAAAAAGAAAAAAAGAAAAGAAAAAGCGCTTGTAACAATATTGGATTTTGTTTTTCTTCTTTCAATTAACATTTTATTCATGAACAGCTGGCTTATCGGAATTGGTTACAAATATGCAAGTGGACTTGTCTGTAGTAGTTGCTGAAGAGGAGCAGTCAGCATAAGGGGCGTGTGACTCCAAAACAACGTGGGAACTTCTCTCAAGTTCATCTCAAATCACAAGGCTCTTCAGGAATCAAGATGTAACAGTGGATGTTGAGAAGGAGTTTGTGACCCTCCTGATTTGGACTACTCGCGATATCTGCACAAAACTCAACAAGTCATGATTGAGAAAAACGCAACAAATACTCGGTGAAGCATTGATTTATGTGACTGGTATTAGGGTAGGTTTCAGCTTGGTAATTTGATATTAACTATGTCCCAAAAGAAACCTCACTGGTTCTTATGGTTCCACGCCACACGCTGCTTCCTACCCTGTTTCTGTATACCCAGACTATCAAGGGATCAAATGAATTAAAATCCACACTTGATTACAAATGAATTGATCTTTTAAATATTGCCATCATTTCAGGGTGGTTTCGGTTACGGGTTAGTGTGAGCTTTCTGTGGCTAAAATTTGAGGGTACTTCGTGCGGGGATCAGTGGATGGATATTTCATGTACAATGCAAGAGAGGTGTCTATCTTCAATGGAATTCAGGGTGTGAATTTCAATGAAGATGGCTTGTTTATAATGAGGAGAGAAGCAAGATAGATTGATGTAAACTTAATGACATCAGGGAATGTTTGCCTGTTTAGTTTGAATGACACGGATATTGAAAAACGTGAAGTTAAGTGGAAAAAATGGCATAATATATTCAATTTGTACACCAGGATTGGATTTTTTTTAAAATAGCATTATATGATTTGTGCACAGGTCTATGGAAAACCAGTAAGTGGCATATACAATAAGATCATTTACCGCAGCTCAAGGAGTACCGTAGATATCACTTACCGGTACCGCAGTTGCTGCTATTTGTGCCCACATGCATATTAATATCAAGCAGTTGAAGCTAAAAGTAATATACAAATACACAGCAGTGAGGGCATTAGTGAGAATTACTCACTCAAGGTACCTTTGGAACAGTCTAACACTCGCGAGGCGGAAGCCGAGGGTGTTTGGACTGTTTTGAAGGTACCGAGTGTGGGTAATTTTACTAAGGCCCGAATAAAATGCTGTGTATTAATTCTTTTATAAGATTATGTTTTATTTGTTATTTAAAATGATGTTTTACAACATGATTTTACTGTTCATTACCCAAATTACGCGTTAGGCAAAATAAATGCCTGGTCACGTGTACACTTTCAACCAATCATTTGATTAGGATCTACGTCATCATCTTATAATATAATCTAATTAACAGGTTTTTTTCTTCCAATTATAACAAGAGAGAAAAATATTCCTTTATAATAACTTCCATTATTTCATTATTTGATCCACGAGACCGAGTAGTCCAGCCCTTGTGAATCTGTATGTTCTCCAGATTTCATTGTCAGGGCCTATCAGGGGGCGGAACTAGCTTTTTGCTAAGGGGGGTGGGTTGACCCTATGACGATGCAGAGCATCGCCCACGAGCTGAGAGGCAATTAACGCATCACTTTCTTTATAAGATGGATTTTTTCCCTCTCTCTCTTGCTATCTCACTGCATTATAAATTTCTAATTTTCACGGCATCAACATATCTCACCATTAAATAGTTCTCTCATTTCCTTCCCTTTCTCTTTTGCTCTCTCTCTGTCTCTCTCTGAACTCTCACGTTCTGTTTCCAGATTTTTTCCACATATGATTCAATTTATCCAACCATAATTATATGCACACTAAAAAGAAAAAATATGAAGGGAATACTGTATATAAGATAATAAACATCAATTTATTCATTTTCTTACAACAAACTAATACGTTTACAGATTATAACATTGATGGCCAAATATTAAGCACAAATGACCTCATCTGCTACTTCCATTCGTAGATTACTTTTTTCTTTAAAAAATTCAACAAAGCATATATGCTAAATCTGAGCAGTATTTTTCTCTCCATGGAATGTATTGTATCATGACCTTCACCTTTATTATAAAACATTATGAAAACATGCTGATTTCATTAAAACAAAAACAAAAAATTACCTATGACTCAATGATTGCATTTTTTTTTCTCCAGAGAAACAATAATACTGTACAATAGTATAGAACATCCTTTATTGTGATGGTTAGTCCGTGGTCCACACACGCACCAAGGTATATCAGACTTTTTATTAACAGTTGCTCGTTATATACAATATATAAATCAGATCATAGGCCCATTCCCAAATGTTATAATTATTATCAATAAACAGAAATTGATATTCCAAAAGTTTGATCTTGGCTGACAGGTGGTAACTTAAGTACTTGACTACATCTTATTTGCCCTAAAGATGCATACTTAAAATGGATGCCTTGGCAAAGCCTCAGTTTTATAAATGATTGCTTGACTTAGACCGCCGATGAACATATTTCTTTTGTACTTATCTGCACCATTAACTTTTCTCCACATCGTGCTGTCAGATTGAGATGCTTTGGTGTGATATACTTAATATTTTACATCATGTTTCTAATGAACTCCTACCTTGCTTAGTTATGCGGACATTGGGCCCTTTTTAAAAAATTGCGATAGCAGTGGAAAGGATGTGCATAAAAGAAGAGGCGGGATATCCATACTACTACCATGTACTACTACAACATGGGTAAAATTGCATCATTGTATTATACCTTGGTTCCTGGTTACCTCTCCTTCGTAGTTTGAAAACTATGTTTCAGTACCGGTAATCATTGTAATAGTGTTTCCGTTTCATGGTGTCACCGGTGTGGTTGTGTGTATGAAGGCCAAATTTTCTATTTTCCTGCTTCGCCTGTCCACAATCACTAAACAATTTGAGCTGAAATACAGGGCCTAATGTTCAAGGTGATTACAAATTAAACATATACTGCTTGCAAGGTGATTACAACGTTACACGTAATGCTTGAAGAGAATTGTGAATGATATTTATCTATTGGGAGTTTGACCAAATCCAGTTTAAAAAAATTCAGCTTCGGAGCACATTACCCCTTTAATGGGGGCATTTATTGGAGGTGAAAAAGAAAAAGAGGCACATGTTAAAGTAAACAAGGCACTTATTAGAGATGAAAAGGGGTAATTATGAGAAGGGTAAGGGGCACTTATAATCAGAAAAAAGATTATTAGGAAGGAAAAGGGGATGTGTCAAATACAAGTGGCAGTTATTAGAGACAAATGGGACACTCATCAATGATGAAAAGGGGTCAATGTCGCTATTCATAAGGACCGCTATTCATAAGGTCCGCTATTCATAAGGTCCATTATTAAAGGTACTATGTCCCATTTGCAGGCCAAAAAAATGAAAAAGTTAAATTCCAACTGCATTTGAAAGATAATACTAATTTAGAACTTCCCTAAACAAGGTGGGGCTTCAAAATGTCTTCAAGGGGGAAAATAATGACTATTAGTTGTCAAATCGACTTTAGGGCTATAGAGCCCAAAAGTAATAGTCTTGATTTTCAAACAATTGTACCGAATGGTCATACGTTTTATGCTGCGCAAAGATTCAATCAGTTTAATCTTGGCCATCACAAGAAGTGGGTTATTGATGTAGACAAATGCTCATGTACCCTTTACAACTCTTTTCATGTATGTTATTACCAAAGAAGAAAAAAAGCCAGTGAGTCACTCAATAGTGTCTGACAGTGAAGTCTAGCAAGTAAACGGGTTTCCTTGCATAATTTGAATACGAGGACACTGCTAACGTTTAAATTTCACAGATAGGACATACATGACATATTCATAATTCCTGCAAAGTTCTACAGAATTTGAGGTGGGCTGCAAAAGGGACACAGTACCTTTTAGGACCGCTAGTCATAAGGACCGCTTTTCATAATTTGAGAAAAGGGTCATTATTCATAAGGTTCATCATTCATAAGGACCGATATTCATAATCAGAGAAGAGGTTCGCTATTCATAATACGGGATAAGGGTTGCTATTCATAACAAATGAAAATGAAATAAGCAATGAAAAAATGTTAATCAGAAAGCGAAATAATGGATAGAGGACACCACACGGCTGTAGCGTAGGCGGGAGGGGACCACATGTCCCCGAACAAAAGAAAAGAAAAAGTCGTCCCCCCCCCATCAGTCCGACCATTCGGCCTACCCTCCCTGCAGTATTTCTGTGGTACAAGTACATATTACCGACAAATCTCGTCCAATTAGTTCATAGATGGCGTAGCCTGTCGTTTTTCAAGGGGGGGGGGGGGTGGTGCGGTTGGGGGGTATGAGTGTTGATCTATCATGTCCCTTACCTTCAGCAAAGGAAGGAAGCGACAAAAAGAGGGTTGTAGGCAGGGACGTCGCTAGACCTTTTTCAGTGGGGGGGGGGGGGGGGGGGGGGGTCGAAGAGGCCACCGAGTACCGACAAAAATAGCCACCAATTATATATTAACATATTATATACCAGTATATTAATGCTAATGTCCCAATGTCTACAAATTAAACCCTATAAATCCGGGGCCAGGAGCTAAATTATTTTTAAATCCCCCCTCCCATGCGAAGCGCGGAAGCTTTGACGTTTCATTAAAATATTAGAGAAAGAAGACGATTTGTTGTACCGTTCACTACTCTTAATCCATGTCTGAATTCATTTTTCCACGCGAAGTGCGGAAGCTTTGACGTTTTATTGCATCAATATAGAGAAAGAAGACGATTCGTTGTACCGTTCTCGACTCCTAATTCTTGTCTAAATTCAGTTTTCCCCCTCTCGCGTGAACCGCGGAAGCTTTGCCATTTCATTTATTTATTAGACAAAGAAGACTATTCGGACTATTCGTTGGTGATCGATTGCATTGTGAAAGAAACGTTTGTGTACTGCAAGGTTCTGGAATCATCAAAATGATAAGAAATTTGGCCCAGTCCAATATACCTACTTAAAAACGAGACAATTATTCAGGGCCATGTGTTGCCTTGGGGGTGTCCTCCGTCCAATATTTCCCTTTGTTATGAGCATTTTGGATATTGCTTAGGCCTATTTCATTTTATGAATAACAACCCTCATGCTGTATTATGAGTAGCGAACCTCTACTCCTATTATGAAAAGCGAACCTCTACTCCTATTATGAATAGCGACCTCTACTACTATTATGAATAGGGACCCTCATTTCGTATTATGAATAGCGACCCTCATTTCGTATTATGAATAGCGACCCTCATTTCGTATTATGAATAGCGACCCTCTACTCCTATTATGAATAGCGAACCTCATTTCGTATTATGAATAGCGACCCTCTATTCCTATTATGAATAGCGACCCTCATTTCATATTGTGAATAGCGAACCTCTACTCCTATTATGAATAGCGACCCTCATTTTGTATTATGAATAGCGAACCTCTACTCCTACACTTATGAGAACGGAAAATGAACACCTGTTGCAAAGAATAATGGAAACTAGTCGAAGGATAAGG